TGCCAGGGTTTTCATGCGACGCCAGCCAATACCCCCACTTCGTGGGGGGGCAATGCAAGCTCTACCAAACATCCACACGACTCTCGGGAACCACCCACACCCAGCTTCCCGCCCTATGACGTCAGGACACTTCACTTCGTGGCGCGCGGACGATCGTGGATACTACACTGGCGTGGAGTACACACCCGCAGAGGTTAATCACTTGTTTGGGCCCCGCATGTGCCCCGCATCGTGCATTTGTTGCGCATGACATGAGAGCAAGACAGAGAGAGAGAGAGAGAGAGCAAGACAGAGAGACAGAGAGAGAGGGAGAGAGAGAGAGAGCAAGACAGAGAGCCAGAGGAGAGCTACGGTGCGATTCGTGTGATTTTATGATGCGCGGTGCTAAAATTCTGAAAACCCAATGATTTTTGGAGGTTTCGGCGTGCGCGCGCAAAGAAAAAACGAATATGTCCCGCATGGTATTTTTTGACAGGGATGATGGCCCTGGCAGGTGCGCAAACGTTGTCGCAGAAGTTCGAAAAAGTTGCTCGCAAAAGCCCGTTTGACAGAATTGTTTAAAAAGTGTTGGTTTTCCTACGAATCCGCAAGAGCGCGCGGAAGAACATTTTGACAATTTTTTCTTAAAAAACCATTGGGTTTTTGATGTTTTTATGTTAAAATCGCTACGAAACCTAAGGTTTTGGAAGGATTTCGTCTTGCGCGCACGAATGTCCACTTTACCTTATTTTTTGCAAGGGATTCTTGCAATTTGATCAAGTAGAACAAGAATTTTCATTTTATAGTGTTTTTTGCAAGGGAAAGCGGGGGGGAACAAAACAACCGGATCCGGACACAATCGTTTTGCCTGAGACTTCCTCACGAAAATGATGAAAATGTAGCTGCGGCCTAGGCGCGGCGGGGGGGCGTGCACCAGGGGGCCCAACAATAATTATTCTTTAGAAGAAATAATGTTCAACAAACAACAACAACAACAACAACAACAACAATCAATTTTACCCGAACGCGTGGTGTTCTCACCAGTGCCAGGGTTTTCATAGGAGGCGGGCAATACCCCCACTTTGTGGGGGGGCCGGTTCAAGCTCTACCAAATTTCCAAACGACTCTTCGCCACCACCCACACCCAGCTTCCCGCCCTATGACGTTCGGACACTTCACTTCGTGGCATGCGGACGACCGTGGCTACTATTCAGGGCCCCGCGGCCGACGACGACGGCGTGCGCGCGCGAAGAAAAAACGAATGTGTCCCGCATGGTATTATTTGACAGGGATGATGGCCCTGGCAGGTGCGCAACCGTTGTCGCAGAAGTTCGAAAAAGTTGCTCGCAAAAGCCCGTTTGACAGAAATGTTTAAAAAGTGTTGGGTTTCCTACGAATCCGCAAGAGCGCGCGGGATGAGATTTTGACATTTTTTTGTTGAAAAACCATTGGTTTTTTGATGTTTTTATGTTAAAATCGCTCCGAACACTAAGCTTTTGGAAGGATTTCGTCTTGCGCGCGCGAATGTCCACTTTACCTTATTTTTTGCAAGGGATTCTTGAAATTTGATTATATTAGAACAAGAAATGTCATTTTATAGTGTTTTTTGCAAGGGAAAACGGATTACAACAAAACAACCGGATCTTGATGACATCGTATTACCTGAGGCTTCCTCACGAAAATGATGAAAATGTAGCTGCGGCCTAGGCGGCGCAGGGGGGCCGTGCACCAGGGGTCCCAACAATAATTATTCTTTAGAATTAATAATGTTCAACAATTACTAGCACGTGGGGACACTCCGTTCTCACCAGTGCCAGGGTTTTCATAGGAGGCGGGCAATACCCCCACTTTGTGGGGGGGCCGGTTCAAGCTCTACCAAATTTCCAAACGACTCTTCGCCACCACCCACACCCAGCTTCCCGCCCTATGACGTTCGGACACTTCACTTCGTGGCATGCGGACGACCGTGGCTACTATTCAGGGCCCCGCGGCCGACGACGACGGCGTGCGCGCGCGAAGAAAAAACGAATGTGTCCCGCATGGTATTATTTGACAGGGATGATGGCCCTGGCAGGTGCGCAACCGTTGTTGCAGAAGTTCGAAAAAGTTGCTCGCAAAAGCCCGTTTGACAGAAATGTTTAAAAAGTGTTGGGTTTCCTACGAATCCGCAAGAGCGCGCGGGATGAAATTTTGACAATTTGTTTTTGAAAAACCATTGGTTTTTTGATGTTTTTATGTTAAAATCGCTACGAAAACTAAGGTTTTGGAAGGATTTCGTCTTGCGCGCGCGAATGTCCACTTTACCTTATTTTTTGCAAGGGATTCTTGAAGTTTGGTTATGTTAGAACAAGAAATGTCCACTTTAGCTTATTTTTTGCAAGGGAAAACCGATCGTAACAAAACAACCGGATCCGGACCAACCCGTTTTGCCTGAGACTTCCTCACGAAAATGATGAAAATGTGGCTGCGGCCTAGGCGCGGCGGGGGGGTCGCGCACCAGGGGCCCCAACAATAATTATTC